TGCTCCATGTCTGGACTAAGTGCCTCCTCTGTGTTCCCCGAGCCCCACTGTCCATCTCCATCAATGCATTTCCACCCCTGTGTTTATGCATCTTTCTCCTCCTCAGACCTGCGGGCTCAGTGAGGATGCACCACGTCCGTCCCTGTCACCTTTATACACCCAGCACCTAGCACAGAGCCTGGCAAAAGCAGACCCTTAATAAATGTTCATTGAATAGGTGAGTGAATGAGTAACTGAACAAGACAAGGCATGGAGTCCAATGCAGAGGCCATTCCTTCCTCACGAAGCTTACATAGTAATTGGAGAGACAGATACAAAATAAAAACTATATGTGATAAACACCAGATAGTTAAAAATGCTACTAAGAAAAATAAAGCAAAGTAAGGGGACAGCATAAAGGAGGGTGTGATACTTTATGTGAATGGTCAGGGAAGACCTTTTTGAGGTAGTGACATTGGAGCTGAGAACTGAAGGAAATGAGGGAATGAGCCATGTGAATATCTGGGAGAAGAGCATTTCAAGCAGAATAAACAGCATGTGCAAAGGGCCTGAGGTGGGTGTGTGCTTGGCAGTTTGGAGGAACAGCAAGGAAGCCAGTGTGCCTGGAGCATGGTGAGGGAAGGAAAAAGAGGTAGGAGGTGAGTCCCATGGTGGGCCACAGGCCAGATCACATAGGGCTTTGCAGGCCATGCTGGAGACCTTGGCTTTTAGTCTGAATGAGATGGGGGCCATTGGAGAATTTTGAGCAGTGGCGGGACATGGTCTGATTTATAGTTTAACCAGAGCCCTCTGGCTGCTATGTGGACAACAAGACTGTGATTGACACAAAGGAGAAAGCAAGGAGTCCCTTAAGGAGGCTGGCACCGGATACCAAGCAAGAAATGATGGGGGCCAGGACCATGCAGGTGGCCATGGAAACAGTGAGCAGTGACAGGACACAGGACACATTCTGAAGGTAGTGCGAACAGGACATAAGGGATATGAAGCTATGAGAAAAAGAAGTCAACAATGATCAGAGGTTGTTGAGCTGTTAATAATATGAGATGCGAAGATGCGGGGTCGGGGAGCAGGCTTGGCAGGATTGTGGAAACAAGAATTCATTTTTAGACATGCTAAGGTTGAGGTGCCAATTAGATATCCCAGTGGAGATGACGAGAAGGCAGCCAGACATAGGAGTCTGCCAACGTCAGGATGGAGATACAGACGTGAGAATCCGCAGCCATGATAGGCAGACTTCTAAGATGGACCTCAAGATTCCCACCCCTGGTGCACATGCCCAACACCAGTCCCTCCCCTCAGTGTGAGACCACTGAGGGTGATGGACGTCACTCTTGTGATCAGGTTACATTATATGGCAAAGGTGAAGGGATTTTGCAAATGTGATTAAGGTCCCAAATTAGCTTTAGTTAACCAAAAGGGAGATTTTCCTGGGTGGGCCCGACCTAATCAAGTGAGCCCTTTAAAAGATAGCCTTCCCGGAGCCAGGTGACTGGAAGCTGTGGAAAGATTCTCCTGCTGGCCTTGACAAAATTAGCTGCCACGCTGTGGGAGGCCCGTGAAGAAAGAAACTGTGAGCCACTCTTGGAATCAAGAATGGCACTCTGACAGCCAGGAAGAAAACAGGGACCTTAGACCTTTACCCACAGGAAAGTGAATTCTGCCCACTGCCACGTGGATGTGGAAGAGGACACTGAGCTCCAGAAAGGAACGCAGCTCGCTGGCACCTTCACTGCAGTGTGAGATCCTGAGCAGAAAACCCGGTGAGGGCATGCATGGACTCCTGCCCCACCAAGACTGTGAAATAATAAATGCATGCTGTTTTAAGCCGCTAAGTTTCTGGCAATTTGTTATGCAGCACTAGGTAACCAATACATCAGCGTGTAAGTGTTTCTAAAGCCTTGGAACCCAGACGGCTCAAATAGCCCGGACCTGAAGGATGAATCAATGATGGCATGAATGAGCCAGATTGGAGGACACACCCCGACCCCCACCCCCAAATGCTCCCTACTCCTTCCAGCCACTAGGTGTCCCCATAGTCCACATAAGCAGGACTCTCCCACCTTTCACAGGTCAGAATCCATTTCCTTCTGAAATGGAAGGAACTAAAGTCAATAAATGGTCCCTCCTCTATCCGCACTCACCCTCCCCCACTTTACATACGGGGAAAATAAGGCCTGCAAAGGGGCAGAGCCTTGCCCAAGATCCCACAGCGTTCTAGCTGTTCTAGCACTATTTCTGGCCAGGCGTTTTAACCTCCTCCTCCTGGGGCCATTCGGAAGAGCAAATAGACTGATCATCTCCCTCTCTCCAGCTCTGACTCGGAGAGGGACTGCGAATGGGACTCAGCAGAGGGCTCTGGAGTGACTTGTGGGCCGAGGCTGGAGTTTCTAACTGAAGCTCCAAGGTTGCAGCTGACGGTGTTGGTGAAGAAGGCTCCTCCTACAGGCGGGGCATCCGAGGGGCCCAGCTGCAGTTGCTGGGCCAGTGACCCAGTTGCCTTTGTCCAGCCCCTCACACCCTCCTTTGCAGGCTGGGTTCTCCAGAAGCAGACGCGGAAACCGAAATTGGGGTTCAAGGTATTTATTAGGGATAAACACCTGTGAAAAGAAGAAGGAGGAAGCAGGATTGGGTACAGGAAGTCAAACTGCTCTGCAGGCCTGACAAAGCCTCGGCCACCCTGGAGGGGCCCTGGGGTGAGTACTGTGAAGGGCGAGTACTGCCTGCCGGTGTCTGTCCTACACTGAACTGAAATGGCCAGGCGGGTATACCCAGGCTGACTCAGACACCAGGTGCAGGCAGCCCTGGGAAGGGCGTGACCTTTGGCGAGGAGGCTCCCTGCAGCTGAGACAGACCCTGAAGGGCTGACAGCTGGAGGCTGGCCACTGACCATACTTCCCATGGCCTGGGTAGTCCTTCCTTGAAGGGGGTTCTGGGTGGCACATATCTGTCTTCCACACCTTCTCAACTCTTTCTTATAGGATTTTTTTTTCCATCTTGATCCGAGAGGCTGGGGGGATGCAGTCACTAATTCCTGCATCCCCTCAGTCCCATTTTCTATAGGCACCCGGTGCTCCCAAATCTGCTATAGCTCTCTTAAAGCGTCTGTGGGTATCCCAGTCCCCAAATAGCCTCTCTGAAGGAGGTCTGCACATTCGACCTCCGTTCGTACTGGGGAAACAGGCTTTGTCCAGCCTTAGGAATTCACTGGATCTGACAGAGGAAGAATCAGGGGGATGGGCGTCAGGGGGACAAAAGATTTTGAAAACGCTTGGTCTCAGTTTCCAAAAACACTGGGAAAGAATCTCAAGGACAGGAATCGTTGTGGCTTCTGTTGCTCTTCTCTAGTCATTCAATAAACCTACACTGCGGGCCAGTGATGTGCCAGACACTGGGACCAACCCCACCACTCCAGGCCCTGAGCTGACAGCCTAACGCCATGTGCAGATTCAAACAGGGAGGGAGAGGCAGCATCCTGAAGTAATACTTCACCAGGAGACAGAACCGACTTGGGGCTTTGTCTCTGACCTATGCTGCTTGCAGGCCTTCCTACAAGTTGCTTCACCACCCTGACCCTCAGTTTCCTCCTCTGGAGGATGGAGTAGTACAATTTATGGAGCACCATGTTAAACACCTTAAACTTCACCCTGTGAAGCAGGTACTGTTATTGTCTCCACGTTGCATGTATGGAAAGAGTCGTCAGGGTGAAGCTAACATGCTCAAGGTCACACAGGTGCTCAGCGGTGGTGCTGGGCTGTGAGCCTAGACAATGCGGCTCAACCCTGCTTCTTAATCTTTACTAAGGGCAGGGCCAGACTGGCCCCCTTGGACCAGGTACGCCTGCATACTTGTTTCACTCGGTCCACAAGGATTTAAAAATATCTGAATCAGCTTTCCTGTTGAAATTGAAATGTTCATAGAAACATCCAGATTTCCACCTTCTCTTGAAAAATCTAGCCACCTGGCTATGCTGGGCTGCATTGCCACTGGGTCACAACCGGCAGGAGGTGAGCAGCTGCCCCCTTAGAAGTGGGTCACGAAGCCAGTGTCTACCCAGACTCTCTCATTCATTCATGTTACCTGCCTGGCCCCCGTAGGGATGAATTTGCCCCCCTCCACGAAGACCAGGGAGTCCTGAGACAGAGGCCTAGAGGGGCCAGGTGCCTTCCCTTGGGACCCCCAGCTCTTCCTGCAACAGAGCTAAATCACATGGACTAGAATCTGGCAAACTATTTGGGGAGGGTGGAGGAAAGGCACAGACATGTAGAACCACAGGGCGAGGTCGGGGCAAATACACTTTATTCAGTCCTGGCATCAGACTGGCGGAAGTCCTGCTGTGGGTGCCAGTGCCCCAGATTGGAGGGACCCTCCCCTCAGCTACGAGACTAGTTCTCCAAGACCACAGACAGTGACATCTCTTCACTCACATGACGTTTTCTGGTTTTTTCATTGTCTTTTTTTGTTGTCGTTTTACTTAAAAAAAAAAAAAAAAAGAGAAAGAGAGAGAGAGAGCGCAAGAAAGGCCCAGAGCCAGAGCACCAAGCTTAAAGGAGGCAGCTGGTGGCTTTGTCAGCGACGGGAACGCGTGGGGCAGAGGCCTGCAGAGACCCTGGACAGGGGTCCCGAGGACTCTGGGACCGTTTGTTCCTGAGATTTGTGTATGTGAATGAGAGTGTGTGCACACCCGCGAGGGCGAACACACGCCGGTGAGATACAGGTAGTGAGGGCAAAGGGCGCGTGGGGAGGCCGGAGGGGCGGGGCTGGAGCGGGGGAGTCGGAGAAAGAGAGGAAACGGCATCAGGGGCAGGGTCCCCGAGGGCACCCCCAACTGGGCACAACTTCCTCTTACAGCAGCGCTGCCCCTATTTTTCAGATGGAAAAACGGAGGCAAAATCGGCCCTCCTCCACCACCCTGACCCTCCCTTCAGTCTCACCGAAGCCGTTTAAAAGGGGGGCTCTGCTTCCCACTCCATCTGCTATCGGGCCTCAACCTCAAGCCCCTCGTACCTACGTGCCTCAGTTTCTCCCACTGAATACTGGAACTGTGGGCACTGAGGGTGGACTAGAGTGACAGAAGGCGGGGTGGGCTTAGGGAGGAGCCCAGGCTGGGAGTGTGCCCTGAAGTGGGAGGGCACTTTCCCTGGGGGTGGGGGGCAGGGAAGGGAGCAGAGGGACCTTGTCTCCCAACAGACTGGTAGGAGTCTTGCTTCTAAGTTTTCTTGGGCAGCCCCTTCCTCTCGTGGTGGATTTCCAGAGCAAGACCCTACCTCTAATTCCCAGGTAGGGGCAAGAAAGGGAGGTTTCTGGTGACCAAGATAGGCTGTAGAGGCAGTCAAGCAGCCGGTGTGGGGGCATACACGTGGGGCTGGGCGACTCCGTAAGGGAAAAGGGGCTACGCCACTTGGGAGAGTTCCAAGCTCCAAATCATCCCTTCCGGGCCAGCTACTCTCTTTCCCCCCATTCCGAGTGCTCCTCCCATTAAGGCAGCGACGCCCCGTCGGGCTGAAAGGAAGCCGCGGCTCCCGGATCAAGAGATTTCTCTGGATCGCTCTATACCCGGCCCCCTTCTTCCCGGAGCGGGTGACAGAGGCGTGCGGTTCGACTGGAAACAGCCCCCTCCTCCCACGAAGCATTAGGCATGCGCGAGCAGGGGGCGGGTCCCAGCGCCCCGAGAGCGAGAGGAGCGCGCCCCTCCCCCTCCAGGGGAGGGGAGGGGCATGGGAGGAGGGCGCGGGGCCGCCCAGCCGCAGCGCCCCCCTAAACAGCAGAGGAGGCGGGCTAGGCGAAGGCGGAGGGATTCGGGGGCAAGGGCAGGGGCGTGTCCTCCGGCCACGGGGGGTGCGGAGGGGCGTGTGCAACGTGGGGGAGGGGTATAGGTCTGTAGGAGAGAACGGGAGGTATATCGGAGGGGGGCTGGCTGCTGGTGGCTGTGCGGGAGGGGGCAAGACGGGGAGGGGCTTGGATGTCAGGCTAGGGATGGAGGTTGGGCTGCCTTGGGGTGTGTCTGCGGGGGAGGGGCATGTCTAGATTGGAGGGGGATGGGCACGTCTAGGAGGGGGGAGGCTGCGCGGGAGATGGGGTGCCAGCCTCGGCCTCCGAGGGGCCCCAATACCTGATTCCTGTATGTAAACAGCTGGTTTGGGGGCGTGCGCGCCCCGCTGACGGTGGGCTCAGTAGGTGAAAACCAGGTCGGCGATGCTAGACGGGCGCCAGTCCCCCGCGATCATCTCGGTAACCTCGGGGGTGCAGTAGTCCGGGAACTCGAAGTGCGACGTGCCCGAGGGAGGCGGCAGGTCCGGGTCGCGGTCCAGGGCGCTGCAGTCCAGGCCGGCAGGGCCGGGGGGCACTCTGGACAGAAAGCCCAGCGGCTCCTCCCCCGATGTCACCGTCTCCTCTTCGCCTTCGTCCGCCGCCGCCGCCTCCTCCTCCTCTTCCTCTGGCTCTTCGTCCTCCGACGGAGTCGGGGAGGCGGTGGTGACAGCCGCCCCCTCCCCCGACGGCCCCTGGGCGCGCTCCGCTGGTCCCCGGGCGGCCCGCCCCGCCGGGACCATCCTCCACAGCTCCCGACCGGGGGTCTCAACCAGGCGCACTTCCAGCAGCTCCTCGTCGTCGTCCTCGTCGTCGTCCTCGGGCGCCGCCGCGCCGCCCCCCAAAGGCCCTCCTGCCGCTCGGCGGCCCCCGCGGCCAGGCAGCTGCGGCCCGGGC